CCCCCCATCAGATGAGAAGAAGGCCATAGCCCGGAACTACCTGGAGCCCCAGGCCAGGGCGGACGCGGGTGTGCCCCAGGGATCGGTGCAGGTGCGCCGCGCCACCACCGTTTCCGCTCGCCTGCTCGATCCCCTCATCCCATCCAGAAACTGCTGTTTTCAACATTCCCACTCGCCCGCACGCGGCGTTCCGAGGCGGCCTCCTCGCGCCTCGAGCACCGGCGCCCCGCCTACAGCCGTAGAGCTGCATGCAGTACTGCTGGTGGGCTGCACGTTAGGCATGCCTCACCCCGCGCGTCAACCCGCCCGTGTCACCCCGCCCGTGTCACCCGCCCGTGTCACCCGCCGGCGTAACCAGGTGACGGACGGCGCGATGGCGACCCTCATTGACGAGTACGCGCGTGAGGCCGGGGTGCGCAACCTGAAGAAGCACCTCGAGAAGATGTACCGCAAGGCCGCACTCAAGCTGGTGCAGGTGATGGGTGATGGAAAGCAATTGTATGGTAGTTTTTCATGTCTGGGGTTTTGTTTTGGGGGTGCTGGGGGTCATGAGAAGTTGTGCCGCCAGGCGGCACTCAGATGACGCCTCGCTGCTCCGTTTTCTGCTCCTGTTTGGTCAGCGTTCGGCTGCTTGGTGCGTCGGCGTTGCTTCCCTGTGTTGTTTTTGTGGGTGCATGGCGTGTCCGGGGCGATTTACGGAGCCTGCCTAGCAGGGCGTGAGGCTCTCGGCGGCGCCAAAGATGGTGTTGCACCTGACAAAGCGCCTGCGGGGCTTAGTGGTGTGCACGGCGACTCCGACAGGACAAAGGCTGGCACAGCAAGGGGGCCCAAACCCGGGGATGCTCTCCGGCGCTGGAGCACCCACCGCACATCTCGCGACCGCACTGCAGGCGGGCGCGACGCGCACCGAGGCGGGCGCGGCGGCGGCGGCGGCCAGCGGCAGTGCAGAGGGCTCGCAGCAGGAGCAGGGGCAGCAGCAGAGATCGGAAGAGGGCGCGGCGTTGACGACCGGGGATGCGGGCGAGGCGGCGTCATCCAGACGCGACAGCAGCGACGAGGAGGCGGGCAGCAGCAGCAGCAGCGGCAGCAGTAGCAGCAGAGGCGGCGACGCCGATTCTGCCCCAAGCAGCAGCGCCCCGAGCGAACCCAGCAGCAGCCCCGGCAGCAGCGGAGAAAGCAGCACCAGCAGCAGCAGCAGCGGGGACAGCAGCCCCAGCAGCAGCAGTAGCAGCAGCAGCAGCAGTAGCAGCAAGGACGCCGCCGCCGGCGGGCCTGAGGTGGTGTACACCGGTGACCCCGTCATCATCGACGCCCCTGCCCTCAAGGATTACGTCGGCCTGCCGCCCTTTGCCCAGGACCGCTTCTATGACACCACGCCAGAGGGGGTGGTGATGGGGCTGGCGTGGACGGCCATGGGGGGGGCCACGCTGTACGTTGAGGCCGCAAAGGTGTCATCGGTGAGCGATTTTGTCCTGATGCTGTTGTGTTTGGGTCCCGCAGTGTGTGCGTGTGTTTGTGGGGGGGTATGGGGTAAGTGGAAGGGTATGTGTGTGAGCGAAGAAAGATGTGGATTCCTGAGGGTGAATCTAAGTTGGTCTGGGCGTGTGTTGGGGGTCGAATTGAGCGAAATGAAAAGAGGTTAGGGCCCGCCGCTTGCCGACAGTGAGAAGGAGAGGGCGGGCATCCACACATCTGCCACCCGTCTGTCCCTGTCCTGCTCATGCTAATGCACCCACCCTCCTGCCCCTGCAGTACACCTCACACGCCCCAAGCCACCGAAATGCCCCCCTGCAACCCAACCCCTCCACACGCCCCTCCCAAAACCGCCCAGGGCGACGGCAAGGGCTCGCTGGTCACCACCGGCCAGCTCGGGGACGTCATGCGCGAGTCCGCCACCATCGCCCACACCTACGCGCGCGCGTTCCTCGGATCCGTCGACCCCGGGTCGCGCTTCTTCTCGGACACCGCGCTGCACGTCCACGTGCCGCAGGGCGCCACGCCCAAGGACGGCCCCAGCGCGGGCTGCACCATCATCACGGCCCTGCTGTCCCTTGCCCTCAACAAGCCGGTGAGATTTGGTATTATGTTGCCCGTTTTTGCATCCCTTGATTTTTTGGGTTTCTGAATCTGCCTGTGGGGGCACCGAGTGCCTGGCAGCCACGCTCAAGTGCTCGACTTGAAGTGGAGGCGTTGCTTCCAACAGAGCACTGGGGCATGGCCCCTGCGAGGCACGCCTCCACCTGCACCCTGCCTGCATTGACCCTTCCGAGGGCCGGGCTTCCTTTGTCGTTAATTACATTTGTATACTGCGCTTGCATGGGGCTTCAATACAGCGGAGCTTCTCGGTGCAGCCAGGCCGTACAATTTGCATGGTTGCCCGACTGCAGGCGTCGTTCTGAGCAGGGATCTGTGTCACGGGGTGTTGACTTGACGCTCGGGGGCCCGCTGCCCCGCGCTGTGCGCTCCATAAGCAGGACGCGTGCGCGCGTGTGATTTCTCTGGGGTCCCAGCTGTTCTGCGGCGGAGGCGTGTCCATGAATGCGTGATGACCGTTGACACGCCTCTCCTGCGGGGCAGCCCGCCCCCTCCCCCCCAAAAGTTTGATCTGGTCCCCTGAAGCCCGTCCCCCCCCTTCTGCCGCCCGCCTTCTTAAAAGCCAAAGCACTGCGCCATTCCACGCCAGCACGTGCCGGCGTGAGCGCGTCCTGCTACCCCCTGCGTTTGGAGCCGCAACTGAACCCTGGACACCCTGTGCATCAACATGGCGCCCCCCACATCGAACCCCCACTTCTCGCCTACACCTGCCCCCACACAACCCATGTGCACGCATTTGAGCATTTTCCGCGCCCCATCCTTGCGCGGCCCTCAGCAGGCCGCTGGCCCACCCGCCTCCAACCACCCTCATTCGCACACCACCTAGGTGGCATATGACCTTTTTGCCACTCTGGTGACCTCGTCCTTGCTTTGACCGTGGCCCCAATCACACTTCACCCACCCACCCACCTACCCACCCAACCCCGTTTTTCAATGATTTCCCCTCTCTTCCCAAGTATTTGCACCCCCATTTCTGACTGCCCTCGATCCTCCCGGCCCCCTCAAACAACCGCCGACCGCTCCAGGTGGCGCGCGACCTGGCCATGACGGGTGAGGTCACGCTGACGGGGCGCGTGCTGCCCATCGGCGGCGTCAAGGAGAAGCTGCTGGCGGCCAGGAGGTGCGGCGGGGCTCCTGCGGCGTGCGTGTGTGGTCGTGTATCTGAACAAGCATCTGACTTTGACGGGGCGCGATCTCACACGTCCCGACGCCCCACCCAAACGCTTTCCGTTCCTTGTTGGCCCCCCTGCTGTCTCATCGTCTCACCCTCGTCACGCAACTCGCTCTGTTGCAACGTCAACGCCCGCTCCCGGGCCCCCCCGTCCGCTGCTGTGCGCCAACCACGCCTCCCACAACCAGGTCTCCACCCCCGACCCCACCACCAAGCCCCACCCCTCAAAACGCCCACCTCCACCCCAACCTTTACAC